CTTCGTGCCTCAAGACCTACCTACAATAGGATCAGTAGGAGCTTTTGCAGAGCCTCCAAACCCTAAACCCTAAACCCGAAAACCTAAACCCTAAACCCTAAACCCCAACAAAACCCTGAGGCCTCTGCGGGAATGGAAGCCTCAAAGGGGGCTGCCACAACCCCCAAGTGGAGGTTTTAGGGTTTAGTGGTTTCGGGTTTAGGGTTTAGGGTTTAGGATTGAGGGTTTAGGGGTTTGGGTTTAGTGGTTTAGGGTTTAGAGTTTAGGTTTAGGGGTGAGGGTTTAGGGTTTAGGGTTGAGGGTTGAGGGTTGAGGGCTTAGGGTGTGATTGAATGCTATTGGTGAGGAATATGCACGAGATTTAGGGTACTTGAGGTCGAGTAGGATTATGTCCATCAGCCATGCAGAAGGTTCTTTAAGTTAGTTAGGGGCGCTTATCTACTTCATTCGCAAGACCTTAGCCGAATCCTGGTGTCTGGAATGCTTTTCTGGGTTCCTAAATCTCTGACGCGAAAATCCTGCCAAACTAGAGTCCCCTTGCGGATCAACCGAAGAGTGCAACACTCTTGTATATGGGCGTGAATCATTACCTATACTATTTTGGGGGGCTCCTTATTAGAATTCTAATATCATATATTCCAAAACCCGATTCGAAGCATTAAGGCCCCTACATTAAACCGCAAACCCGAGGACAACATGCTTCCTCTCCTGCTTCACTTCCTTGCTGGTCGATCCGGTGGTTGAGTGACTTAGCTGAAGCCGGTTAAGGGTAGAAGTACTATGAGGGCTAACCCTAAACCCTAAACCCTAAACCCTAAACTATGAGGGCTAGGGTTTAGGTGGCCTGGCTGAGGTCGGTAGAACTTTGGTTCCTCTAATTGTTTCTGTAAGCCCGATTTCTATAAGGGTTGCTCTAAATTTAGGACGTCGTGGTCAGGCAACCGTTGGGATGGTTTGGAAGAACTGTTCAATTGAAAAGTACGTGAATTTAAGGTGATTTTTAAATGAAAAGTACATGAATTTAAAGTGATTTGAAAAAGTGAATGGGTTTTGCGGGGCATTGGCAAAAGTGAAATAGCTACTCGAAAAGGTGATCTTGAAGTGATCCGGGCTACTCGCAGAAGTGATTTGAAAAGTGATTTTGGAAGTGATTTGAAAACGATTGCAACGTGATTTCCCTGCATCGCAGATAAGTAACTTGAAAAGTGAATTGCGGCCAGAACAAGCTATTTCAAACCGATTTAAGGCTTGAAAAATTGTTTTCAAATTGATTTTGGGGTTGCGCATTGGATCTCCAAGGATTTGCATACCTTGCGAGGATTCAATAAGGCTTGCTTCAGTGACTCTACTGACTCTAGTGGCTCTCGGGAGCCCTTGGGAAGGGGAAAACCTTTGGACAATCACTGTGCACCGCCCCAATCATTGTTGAATTCGCGTGTGACATCCCAAATCGCCTTGAAAACACTTTTGCAAGCCTCAAATCACTTTGAAATCACTTTGGGGATCCAAGATCACTTGC